CAAGCCTCGTTGCGCGGGTAGCGCATGAAGACTCTGTATGCCTACCTAACTAAGGTACTTACTCAGTACACATGGTCAGGTTGCTCAATGACGGCTATAACTCTACTTATCGATTACTTCGAGGACACCTATCATGGAAGCATACTTGCAGGCATAGACACACTAAGGGCAGGCAATGAATGACTAAACTTAGCCGTCGATCCTCCTTGATGGGCCATTTTCCAGCTAACTATGCTCAAGGCACCGGAGGGGAAATAATCCGGGCGGTTTAAAATCCAGGACATAGATATATATATGCTTCCCTCACTTTATGCCTTGTGCCAGTTTGATCTTCAACGCTCTACGTAGTACTCGTTTGCAGGAAAATATCGTTTGATCGACCACAGTCCAAAAGTCTTAACCTGGCGCTTATAACAGCAAGCCGTCATGTGACGACGAGTCACGTGTATATTAGCTGCGTCGTCCTCTAGCGGAAAGTTTCTCGACCTGCAAGTGGTCTGTGCGTGCTCAAGGCAGAGCTGTGCCTGACGTGGATCTTATCCTGTAAGATATTAACTGGCGCAAAACGCCACTTGCTTCACGTCTGGACATTCCTCCTCATTCTCATCCTCAGCAACAGCACCTCAACTCTCTTCTCTGGGTCCGATTCTGCTTCTGCTTTCGTTGGCGCAAACCCGCATCTCTTGCCTTGCGAGTCGCTCTACCTCAACCTTCTGTTTTGTACCTGCACCGTCACCATCCCAGATCTCTCCCTATCCGCCCGAGAGCTCCTTGGTATTTCTACCCTCGCGACATCATCATGCCTGGTCTTGTATCGGCCACTGGAGTTCTGGCCTTCCTTGCCGATGAGGAGCCTGAACTCAAGGTTTTTGCCTTGCAGACTTTGAACGATGACATCGACACTGTATGGACCGAGGTGGCCGGCGCCCTGAACCAAATGTAAGTTGCCAATCCTGCCATCCATCAAGCCATGAAGGTTGGCGGAGCAGTTGCATCAATCGAGTACACGCTCTAATGCTTTCTTTTTTCTTGGCTAGCGAGGCATTGTATGAAGATGAGTCTTTCCCCGAACGACAGCTCGCCGCTCTTGTCCTCGCCAAGGTTTATTACCATCTTCAAGCATACAACGACAGCATGGTGTTCGCTTTGGCTGCTGGAGACCTCTTCAAGCTGGACTCGCCCGGCGAGTTTGAAGAGACTATCATCTCCAAATGCGTCGATCAGTACATTGCTACCACCGCTGCAAAGAACTCCAAACCACGCGCTTCGAAGAAGACCGATCTACCGGAACTCACAACAACCTTCTCCAATGCCTCTGACAGTGCTGTCATGTCCCCAACCACTCCATTCTCCCACACAACGCTGCCCCCCAAGTCGCTCCTTTCGCGTACCTCACTCGAAAACACTATACTCGACGCCACTTTTCAGCCTGTAGTCAAGCAGGGCAGATCCGGCTCCATCGCCGAGCTGCCCAACCAAGACACTGAAGACTCCTTACAGCGCGTGATTGAGCGTCTGTTTGCAAGCTGCTTGAAGCAAGGCCGATACAGGCAAGTTGTTGGTATTGCCGTAGAAGCCAGAAATCTTGAAGTTTTGCGGCGCGTTATTAAGCAGGCGAGTGAAGACGAAAAGAACGCTAGGTTCAAGTCACAGGATGGACTCCAAGGCCCAGCCGAGGAACTCATGGAGTACACGCTTGGTATCTGCATGGACATCGTGCAGGAGCGAAGCTTCCGTACCGAGATTTTGCAACTAATTCTTGACCTACTGAACGACATTCCCAATCCGGATTACTTTGCCATTGCGAGATGCGTTGTGTACCTCAATTCGGACGATGAGGCTTCACGCATGCTCCGTACTTTAGTCTCTAATGGTGACCGTACCTCCGTTGCCAACGCTTATCAAATAGCATTCGATTTGCACGATAATGGCACACAAGAATTTCTAGGCAGGGTACTCGCATCTTTACCGGCAGCGAAACCTAGAAAGGAAGATGTTGAAGCCTCGGATCAGGCCACAGAAAGCGAACCTCTTTTGGACAATCAACAGGGAGACCCCGAAGAAGACTTGCCTGAAGGCGAGGCCAAAGTTTATCGCAACATCCGATCAATTCTTGACGGATCAAAGACTATTCGTCTAAACCTTGAGTTCCTGTACCGCAATAACCACACCGATCTTAGCATTTTGAACAAGGTACGCGATAGCCTTGAGGGACGCAACTCGATTTTCCACACCGCTGTCACCTTTTGTAATGCATTCATGAACCAAGGGACAACAAATGACAAATTCTTCCGCGATAATTTGGAGTGGCTAGGCAAGGCTGTCAACTGGTCAAAGTTCACTGCTACGGCAGCACTTGGAGTCATTCATCGAGGCAATTTATCACAGTCTAGAAAGCTTCTTGAGCCGTATTTGCCTCGGCAGGGAGGCCTTAGCAGTGGCTCGATATTCAGCCAAGGTGGTGCCTTATATGCCTATGGTCTTATCCACGCCAACCACGGCGCCGATGCTTTGGACTACCTTAAAGCCCAGTTTAGTCAAGCTGAAGAGGAAGTCGTTCAGCATGGCGGCGCTCTTGGACTTGGTATTGCCGGCATGGCCACGGGGGATATGGAGATCTTTGACAAGCTTAGAAACATCCTTTTCCAAGACTCAGCACTCAACGGTGAGGCCGTTGGTCTGGCAATGGGTCTCATCATGTTAGGAACAGGCAATGTGAAGGCTCTGGAAGTCATGATCACATATGCTCACGAGACAACACACGAGAAGATTGTTCGCGGTGTTGCTCTGGGTATGGCGCTCATCATGTTTGGCCGACAAGAAGGAGCAGATGTTTTAGTAGAAGGACTTCTCAACGACCCGGATGCAACACTTCGATATGGTGGCATCATGACAGTGGCCTTGGCCTACTGCGGAACCGGAAGCAACAAAGCCATCCGAAAGCTGCTTCACACTGCTGTCAGCGATGTGAATGACGATGTTCGTCGAATTGCCGTCATGAGTTTGGGCTTTATCCTGTTCCGTAAGCCTGGCAGCGTTCCTCGAATGGTTGAGCTCCTCTCTGAGTCGTATAACCCTCATGTGCGCTACGGATCCGCCATGGCTCTGGGTATTTCTTGCGCCGGAACTGGCCTCGATGAGGCTATTGATCTCCTCGAGCCAATGATGAAGGACCCCACCGACTTTGTTCGACAGGGAGCCCTCATCGCCCTCTCGATGATTATGGTACAACAGAACGATGTTATGAACCCCAAGGTCTCCGCTATCCGCAAAACGCTTAAGAAGGTTGTTGGTGACCGCCACGAAGATGCCATGACCAAGTTTGGCGCTGCCCTCGCTCTTGGTATCATTGACGCTGGTGGTCGCAACTGCACCATCGGCCTCCAAACGCAGACTGGTAATCTCAATATGGCCGGAATAGTTGGAATGGCTGTGTTTACTCAGTATTGGTACTGGTTCCCCTTCACGCACTTCCTTTCTCTGAGCTTTTCTCCTACAGCCATCATTGGCCTTGACCATGACCTAGAGATGCCCGACATTAAATTCCACTGTGCCACCCGACAGAGCCTGTTCGACTATCCACCAGAGCAAGAAGTGAGGGTTGAGGAGGGCCCTGCCATGATTGCTACGGCGATTCTGTCAACAACCGCCCAAGCCAAGCGCCGAGCCCAGAAGAAGGAGCGTGCTCAGCGACGTGAAAGTATGGATCTTGATACTGCACCTGCCAAGGGTGCTGAGAAGATGGATGTAGATGAGGAGAAGAAAGAGTATTCCAAGGACAAGAAGGACACGGATGATAAAGACATTGCTTCTGCCGAAACCAAGAAAAAACCGGAGAAGGAGAAGGTCGGCTATGACATTGAGAATATGAGTCGTGTTCTGCCGGGACAACTGAAGTATGTCAGCTTTGTAGCCGGGCGATACAAGCCAGTCAAAAAGGTAATGATTACCTCATCCCTCGATGCGATATTCAATTTGATTAATTTTGCTAACCCCGGGCACAGCCTACCGGTGGCCCGCTACTGCTCGACGATACCAAACCCGACGAGCCGAAATCCCTCATCGAAGAGAAACTCAAGAAGGTCACTACCGAGCGTGCTCCGGTGGCAGGTCAAGGCCGAAGCGGCGCGGGCGGCCGATCTGGTAGACCGACCACGACTTTGTTGGACGGCCTTGTTGACCCAACACGTGCGGCAGGCAGTAGCCAGGTGATGGGCCAGCTTCTTCGCGGCCAAGGATCGTTTTTGGGTGACCCGCAGACACCCAGCGGAAACAGCGGGATCGGCGCAGGAGCCGCAGCCGCAGCTGGTGTACTGACTGCCGTTGACGAGGATGGAGAAGGGGATGAGGAGGCGCCAACACCTGGTGAATTTGAGTACTTCACAGATGGTGAGGATAATGAAGATGAAAAGAGGCATGTTGCGTGATAGTTGTGGTTAATAGCGCAACTTCATTGTAATTGTGTATTTAATATGTACCACTACGGACAGAGGCTCGGGTCAGACTACAGTCAGGGATGATGCTCTTCGCATACCGTGGCTGAACATGTAGCTGCCGGGGAAGTATTTGAACCGATAGATGTAACAAATGTCATTTTATTTCTGCTTATGCTCTCCATTTCACATACCTTGGGGCTTTTGTAGCAATCCATGTAGAAGATGCCATGAGAAGAAATTGTCCGCAGGCAGCAACACGCAAGCCAAGAAAACATCAGACCCTCGAACTACCCTGGGGCGGAGCAGCCCACTAACGCTGGCTGCACTAATAATGTTACGAATCTGTGATTCCAGAATACAAAGGAACAAGTTCACTCAATATTAATAACTACAACACACTAATGTTATGCGACGCTCAATGCAGCCGCCTCCAAGGACGACTGTGTTACGCTAACACACAGTTCCAGAATGCCTTCAGATGATACGTATACAGCCTTAGTTCGCCAGATGGATGTATTCACGTTCGCCTATCCCAGGAGGAAAAAAAAACAGTTCCGTCTTCTGCTAAATCACTTTTCTTGTGTCCTGTTGCCTGGTAGTTGCCCGAGAGCAATCGGTACATACTTGCACTCTGTGCCAAGCAGTGGCTAGGTTACCACGAAAGTTCCAAGTCGCGGCATGGCTTTCTGGCTGTGTGTTGTAGGCATCATCGGTTGCCTTGACCAACACTGTGGTGCACCGCTTCTGGTCGCCGTCCTGACTCTTGCTATTCGCAGCAGCGGCCACCGGATCGTCGGGTCTGCCTCCGTGTTTGTCTTTAAATGCATTCAGCGGTACACTTCCTTCAAATACCCATCGCTTCCAGGACCATGCACCGTGGCCTTGGCAGGGCGATGGCATACCATTTTTGGTCACGCAATCAGGCAGAAGATACGCTTGAGTCCATGAGCCACCACCATCCAAAGATACATCCACACGGATGATAGATCTGCCGCCACCAGAGAATGCGTATCCGCTCATGCTAATTTCTTGTTGGGGATGGTTCTGCGACGTGACTGTCTGATCTTGGTCGTTTTTCAAGACATTGGGCTCTGTTTTTGAGTCAAGCCACTTGCCCAGCTTCAACGTAGTGATGGCGCTTTGGACTGGTAATTCTTGAATGGCAGGAGCTGCGTCCCAGTCAACTTTGATCTGGTTTGGGCCGAAGCACTTGTAGTCCTTGCGTTGCCATTGGCTTGTGCTCTCTTCGTCGCTAAGGGTAATGTGATTCAGCCACTTGACAGATCTGGCAGCAACGTGTCCTGGAACAATGGCTCTGAGAGGAAATCCGTGGTCTCGAGGCAGCGGTTCATCATTCATGCTGTATGCCAATAGGACATCTCCTTGTGGATCAATAGCCTTCTTGATAGGAATGGATGCACCGTAGGCTTCCAAGCCCATGAATTGGACGTGTTGTGTTTCGCTCGAACCAGTCATAGCTTCCGAAATGTCAAATCCAGCGTCGGCCAGCACGTCTGAAAGAAGAACACCTTCCCAGGAGGCGTTGGAAATGGCGCCAGATGTCCATGGCAGGCCATTTGTTTGTCTTCCAGAATCATCACTCATATGCTTGCGACGGTTGCCAGAGCATTGCAAAGTGGCAGTGACCTTGCGGCTGAGGAACCTTGTTTTAAGTTCCCGCAAGGTGTATTCCCTCATTGTTCCGTCAAGAAGCTCGACTTTCAATCGATAGTCATCCGACTTGGAGTCCTCGACAGTGGGAACCCACATATGGTTACGCACGTAGAAGAGCTCGTTGGGTGTCAGGAATTGCGCGGTGAGCGCTTCTGCTGGCGTTTCAGCATTTCGAGGCTTGGCTGTCCGTGTAATAAGCGACGGGTGCCGCTCCGGATCATTTTCGAAAGGATCCTCGATTTGGTCTTGCGCAGGCTTGCCATTGACAAGATCGGCTTGGTCAACATAACCAATTAGATACTGGGACAGGATATCGTAAACGTATTGATTCTTGTGGATTGTAAAAATATTCCAATAAGGGTCTATTGATCCTCCGGCGGCGCGCAGAATGACTTGACCACCAGGATGAGCGGGAACCCAATCCGTTATGTCGTAGACCTTGTCACCATATATGACCCACGGATGGTCGGAGTCGGCCCCATGCTTACGGACTTCAGTTATACGGAAGCGAGGCAGGTCGGGATTCCGGTTGTCGGAGGGGTTCTCTGGAGCTGGAGCAGGCTGGGGCTTAAAAGAAGAGGACGAAACCGGGGGTGACGATGCATAATGGGCATCCAAAGTGGTGGGGGACAAGGGAGAGACACAGAGAGCGAGAGAGAGCAAACCAAGACTGGCGATGACAGCCGCGATCTGAGAACGGGGCCGGACCGAATGCCGTACCGCCGACACCCGCGAGGCCGGACCGCCACTGTGACGCCCGGCCTCCGCTCTTCTCGGGGTGCGTCGATAGACTGCGGTTGAAAAAAAGTCTGCCGTTGGGCGTGGCTGGGAAATGTGAAGACGAAACAGCCGTTGAGATATACAACGGTGTTGTCGTGGATTCATGGCTGGAACGTTGGATCCGCGTTGGCGGCAACGGCGACGGCGATGGAATGGTACCGAAACCCCAGTTCAGTTCAGCCCAAGATGGGAGCTCAGAAGAATACTGCTGCGAATCGGCAAAGCTGCACAGGAATCACAATCGGACGGCTTGTAGGAAAAGACTCGTCGGGACTGTTGGGGACGCAGCAGATTGCAGTGAGATGCGGCGTGTCTGATCTCAGTCCAAGCTGTCGTGAACTGAGCTGGATGGCAAGCACCAGCCAGCAGGTTTTTGGGCCAGGCGCACTGCTTCCAGAAGCACGACCCGCGCCCAGAAATCAATCTTCAGGGGCAAGTCAATTCCATGGATCAGAGAAGCGTGAGGTTGGTATTTTGTTGAGGTGCCAAGAGAAAGAATATGCCAGGAGGCGCAACGGCGAAGTCTGCGTGTTCGCGTCTCACGACAATGCTCTCGCAAGGCAGTTTGGTGTACTCGATACGTAGTACGGAGGATATGCGCTCCGTTTATGGTAGACAAATTGCGGGCGGCCCTGGGCGTAAAAGCGATTCGATGAAAATATGTGGAAGAAAGGCGACTGAAGGCGGCACAAAGCGAAAAAACGTGGGCAAGGGTGAGTGGACGAGTTTGAGATGTACAGACATGGAAGGCACGATGGACCCAGGCGCTGGTCGGCACAAGTGCTTTCGTTTACCCCAGACTCGGTAGTCGGTACACATTAACTACTTAAGTAGTTACTCCATGTAAATGTTGCCAGTCGAGAACCTTGAAAGTAACTGAGCACAGAACATTGAAAGGCCCAACACACGACGACGCGGCACCGTTGCTTGCCGTGCTGTCTTGGCTCGACGTCAGGCTCGAGAGGTCAGGTGAACACTGTGTCGGTTAACCACGGAGGGAGGATTTGGCCACCACCTCTGGCTTGGACATGGCGGCAACACAGCCCGCCGTATTTTACAGAGCTCCGTATGTTTGTTAGTGGACAGTGGGCAGGGGACCGTTGACCCGTTAAATTCTCCGTACGAGTGAGTCCACGGGCATCGCAGCCGATTGGGCCCAAGAATTCGCCTGGGACGACGGCGTGTCAACTTCCAGTTGGGACCAAGCCATGCAGCCAGAGCAGGGTTGGCGGTGTGCCAGCGTAGCAGTGTGCACGCACAGTCTGGCAGCGTGGCCTCCCGGGCAGAGAGGGTCGATTATACCCGTTGACAACTAAGTGGCTAGCCCACTTAGTTGTCAACGGGGTAGTTGAAAGAAGACGGAGCAGACCGTCGCGCACAGGCAGTGAGCCGTAAGCGTCAAGTTCTATATGGTAACATGGAAGCAGCGTGGCAAGGGGCCAAGACGGCGAGAAGGGAACATCCTGAGGCGATACAAAAACTACGAATCGCTTCGAATCGCTCCAAGACTTTCTTCTAAGGTTTGATCCGCTAGCTGTAAAGCGATAGCCAAATAGCCTATGACGCTTCGAGAAGCTGAATTTAACGTTAATTCATCATCTTGGAGCAGCTCCAATGCTAAGACTTGGCATGTTCTTATTGATTGAAAGAGCACGTCGAGCGCAGGGGTCGCAAGGCCAATCATAAGGTGCCATTCTTGTTAAACAATTTAGCCAACTATTAGCTGGAACCATCCAGTGGTAGGATTGCTTCCTAGAGTGCTAGTAGCTAAGTATGTAGAGATACGTTGCATCATAAATCAACTACATCAATCGTTCGTTCCCAAGGATCGTAGCCGGTTCATCATGCTCCAGACAAGTTGGGTGCAAAACTCGATTCCAGACCACCCTTCTGCTGCCAATTGACTACGCTATGCTGACATGCATTACAATTTATGTTATAATTATTTCATTATTCTTTCTGGATACGCTAGACTGAAGTAATAATTGCTAGAATCATTCCTAGTAAAACATTTTCTTTTGATATTAGTTTTATCTCTAATGAAGCTAGCAGAGTAAAGATTAGTACATGCAATGCTTTTCAGCTAATTGCTGGATCGATTAGGAACTCTTCAAGAATTCAAGCTCCCTTTAGTTCCGCAGCATGAGTGGCGAAAGTGTGAATTATCCTTATATACCAGCCTCGATAAAAAGAGTTCCCAAGAAAGATGCTCGATACGCCCATTACGGTACAATCAATTCATCAATTTGAACCCTCTCAAAGAAACTGATATGCCCAAAGCCAACCCAATACTGAGCCAGCCGATTCGGTCCAATGAGCAAGAGTTGACTTTCAATATACTTGTCTGTGTGGCCAGCGTGGACGCCGGTATAATTAGCGATTGGTTCTAACAGCGGTGAAATCTCCCAAAATGATGGGTTGCACGCCTTCAAAGACTCTCGATCCATTTGCTTACCTTGAATAAACCCCGTTGCAGCAACGTGTCCCTTGCTCTTCACCACCCTAGCCCCCGCGAAGGGAGGGTCGGTGGCTACCCCTACATAACCTCCGGGGCCAAGATCATCACAGACAAAGGTGTACTCACCCCGCGGCACGTTGGGATCACCCGTCAATTTGATTGCTTCAAGGCGGCCACGATACGTATAGGCTTCCCTCCTTCGCTTTTCCCAGGCTTGGTCCGTCTCGTCAGCATCTCGTACCAGGCCAAGCTCGGCATCAGTGACATGAGGATCGTCAGGTTGGTTAATGAGCAGGAATTCACATCCATGGCCACTATAATCGCCAACCCATATACCCCGCCATGGCTTTGTCGGCGTCGGTGTATATAGGACCGGGTCAAGAGTCGAGTACGTGATGACTTCCTCACCAATGTGGACGCCCATAGCACCAGCAGCTAGCATGACGTTGTCTGCATCGGTTAATCCGTTGAGAACTTGCACCATGCCTGTGAAGCTACCAGCCTGGCCGCCTACGAGGCTCGGCGGCGGTGGCGTTCCTGGCATTTGCATCCACTGCCGAATACGGAAGGTCTGATCGGAGACTTCACCTCGAGACCTGGGCCGATCATCTTGCGACAAGTCGATGACAGCTTGACCAGATCTTGCGCCAGACACGTGGTGACGAGCTGGGATGGTTGGTGGCGGCCAGACATGATCATAAGGGTAGTCAGCTGCGAGTTTCTCATCCGCCTTTTCAGGGTCTAATGGCCGCGTGAGTAAGAAGTTACTGAACATCGGATCTGAACGATTTCCACGCGCCATAGGCTTTTCGGAAGCAAAGCGGTTAGCGCCCCGTCTAATGGAAAAATTTCCGGTCTTCTGCCTGTCTTGGACATCAAACTGCAGAACGGGCTTGTCAAGATGCAGCTTGACTTGTGGCTCAAAACCATGAATGATAACCTGGCTGTCGGTTGGCCAATGTTCGAAGGTGTTCCTATTGCTTACTGCTAACAATTGGTAGCCTTCGATACACCCTCTCCGTGGGTCGAAGCGCACGACGATTAGTTTGCCCGTTAAATCCCTATCACAGAACCAGATTTTATACTTGGGTAGAAACCATAAGGGATCGTGTGCAATATAAAGCTCCCGGAAGCTGCTGCAAGGCTCCGAGTTGGTCAATGTTAAACCCGGCACATTGTGCTGGATGCATCGAAGCCAATGGATATCAGATATGGCTTGTCTACGAAGCTTCCGACAAGTGGCGGCAACGGAGGACAGGTCTGTGGCAGACAGGTGTGATAGAATGCAATCGATTAGCTCTGGAGGCATATTGAGGAGAGATGTGTTTGAATCCCAATTTGAACTTTGTCTTGAGCGGGAAGCACTTTCAACCGCTTTCTCTGACGATGGATGCTTGCCTGTGGCGAAAACGTCAGCTAACTCATTTCTTGCATGAAAAAAACCCGTGCCATCCGATGAATGATAAAGCTGTCCAAGCTGAACCAGGTAGACTACTTGATCCCAAACTTGGACTCTGCTCAACTAGGACTTAGCAGCTAAGGCTCCGATTGCATGACAGCTAAATTTGGTGCATAATTGCTATCAGAGAGGTATACACACACCACAAAATAGAGCTCTCGGTCGCATGAAGGTAGCAATAGCGGACCCAGAGATAAATTGCGGCGAATATGTGTCGCGATGACGATGACAAAACCAGGGGCAAAGCAAGAAAGTGAACAGTCATGGACATACCTTCAAAGGTGGTATCATGGTGCTGTTTGCCACTGGCGGTGCTACTTTGACCTGGCATTTTCCTCAAGATGCGTTGTCGATAATAATTGACTTCATTCGGCATGCTCTCAAGCAGGTCCAAGTTAGTTTCGTTTTCCGCGTTGATACGACCGTAGTTTGAAGGCGATGTGGTAGCTGAAGTAGGCACGATAGGCAACAGGTCACGGATTTGGTTGTCAGGTAAACCCGACGAATCCCGTGAAGGAGGTGAAATAGGAGCGGGCGAGGGAGCTTGGCGCTTCAGAGGCCGCTGATGAGACGATAATGGATATGAAGTTGTAGTCGATTCTGTCTCGGAATCATGAGCTGGCTCCGCAGAACGCTTCTTTCTGGAGGCTGCGAAGCCAGCCATTTCGCGGATATATCACGGCAAAGTCGAAGAAGAGGTACACTAGGCAGAAGTCGAAGAGGCCGCCGTGCTGTGTGATATAGATTCGGTTTTGATATGGCGTGTCTGATTAGAGAGCTCTGAAGGCACTCAGAAGAGAGAAAGGAAGTTCTGAGAGTCCAGACGAGAGGCAGTGATGTGGATATTTGGCTGGCTAGTCAAAAAATGCAAGGCACGAGGTTGATATATCGTTGTAGTAACATTTGCAAGTGCCACTCGCTCTTTGGACGGTGTCTGTTGTCTGAAATCCAATTCCTGTGGCGAGACTCGGGGTTGTACGCCAAGTGCTGCACGACTCTGAGCTCAGCCAGGATCACCCGCGGGGGGAAGTGTATGAATCCTTGCGGCAGTCAATGGGAAGCGGTAGGTGACAGTGAGACTGTGGTTGAAAGTTCTTGTTTTGGCCCGTGTTGGTAATTAGTTACCAGTTGGTCCGGTTGGGTCAGAGTACTCTCGCAGTCAACTAAGTCAACCAGTCCCCGATGCCGCCCTCAGATGACAAAAGGCCCAGAGATCCGCTCCAGCGCCCGCCAGGGATGGGGCTGATGGATCGGATGGGCGCGGCCAGCCTACCAGCTTCTCAGTTTGATGGCGGCTATGAAAAGGTTCCGGGCCAGACACAAGGTGTGGAATAAGTACCGCTCTCGGCTTTGATGTGTGTCGTAACTGAGACGCTGTGGGGAGTAAGCCGTGGTGTTGTGCCGTGCCGTGATTCCGTGGTTCCGTGCAAGATGATGCGAAAATTCCTGGCCTGGCATGCCCGCAAAAGAGGAATCAATGCGCACTTGACAGTTTACATAAACACGAGTGCAGCACAGCATTTCGGTGTGTATGTACCTGCCGCAACTAGTCGAGTGGCAAACAGGCAAGAGCGACCGACCACTTGAACTAGCTACTAGGTTGCCTGGTGCCACTTTGCAGTTCCACTGTTCTAAAATTGCTCCCAACCTGTCCATCCAAGAAGATCAACAGACTACTCCGTAGACGTTTGCTAATTGTGCATCTATACTTGGACCACACAGCTTCCGAGGCCAACGACACTAGCTGGCACTTGGAGCTCCCAAATTTCGGGGCTCCAGATATCCGCTCCAGGCGGGCAAGTGGACTCTAGGTTCGAGAACTCGTTACACGACTCGAGGCCTCGGCTATGTGGAACTTGTGAACATTGAAACCTCAACCTCACTGCACTAGCTTCGACGACATTTGGAGTCTTCCTAGTCTTGGAGACCCTGGTGGAGGGCTAGAAAAGCCTCGATTCCAAATGCTAATGTGTCTTCCAGATTTTCTCGGCCACTTCATACCAAAGATCGCATTGAACCAAGTCTGCGGTTGGAGAGACTACACAAATATCGATGCATACATCAAGCACCAAAGATGATGACTACACCGGCGGCGTTGAATGATTCCAACGGGGTCGAAAACTTATGACACCCCACTGTGGAAGAAGCAGGAGATGCAACTTCTGGGGCGGAGACCAGGAAGCACCGCCCCCAAGATTAACCGTACCCGGCCCGGCATGGACTATTATTAGCCATGTAGATTTAGCCTTGCTGGGCTGCTGGGCTTGTAGGCAAACGCCTCGCTCATGTTCTAAAGTTTTGACCGAGAGACCACTGGCTGACCTGGACTTCACAGTATGCTTGCTGTTGATGTCCAGCCACCCTGCCAGACAGCGTAAGGACCTCTGTCAAGTCACAGAAACTTTGTTTGCAAAGCGAGCTGTAATCTCTGGTTGGATTAAAGAGCTGTTCTGCATGCCAGCCACCGATGGAAAACGCTTTTCCCACAGGGAACTTTCAGAAGTCCCGATAAATGCGCGCTTATTTCGTACTACCTGCCTCGGCGTTGGATCTCTCTGCTCTTCATCCATATGCCAACAGAGTGACGAAGACATGAAGGGCGGTTTACATCGATTACGATACCACGCCAAGGACGACGCATACATGCGTCCGCATTGGCAATCATCAGTTGTCAAACCACACTACTGAAATATCAATGGGCCTTGTTTTCAGTAGCATCGTCTTGTACCACACGCAGTGACTAGCTCCTTGGGTGGCTTTGAATTGGAAGCTCCCGAGGCTTTTCCCATTCTCTTCTGAGCTGACAAAATGCTCCCATGGCCCGCAATCCCCTCAATCGAAGAAATTTAGGCGACGCCAGTCTCGCGCACGGTGCATCATGGTATCTTGTCTCGCTTCTTATGCCCTTCAATGTTACCTCCTAGAGTTGACGTGGTAATCACAGGGATCGGGCTTAAACCCAATGCTTGGCTAGCGCCAGGATGCTGCGTCTTCAGACGGGACAACGTCCGATCACCACATCCACAAGCATGCGTGAAATATTTACAGAAATACCTGCGAAGGTGGGCAGGTGGGCTTCTCGTCTGAATGCAAAGGGATTCTCTCGCAGTCGGGCTTTATGATATCCAAAGGACGGACGGACTCTCTCCACTCCGAGTCCAACGGCATCAAATGGACAGAACCTTGGGCTGCTGTCAGGAAAAGGGGAAAACATCACCCACTGATGCGACTTTAGCATGCAACTGTCCGATTATCTATACATCACACCCTCCTTCGCTTGAAGCTTCTTCCTCCTTTGTGTCCCACCTGCAGAACAAGGCACCGGGAGTGTTTCCGAGGATTCGCATAGTACACCACCACCTGCAGGAGTCTGCCCAATTCGGCAAGCCAGCTACTTACCTACGCACATGCTGTGCGTGTGCAATGCAACTTCTTGACCTTTGTTGCCACGAGCCTTCACCAACTGTCATTCCCATACGTGTTCCAAATACACCTATGTGCTTTGGCTGGACGCCTCAAAACTCGGCTAGTCGAGCCCATTGCTCAACAGGTCCAAGATCACCAACCCATGGCAGCATACGTCGAGCGTGTCCGTTTCCGAAAGTGTACACAGTGCCAATGTACGCACGAACCGAGCACGATGTTTTATCAGACCTTCTTGGTCTTGCTGCTGCCGATGGTACCAGATCAGCTACTAAGTACTAGGTAGTTAAGCTCAAACTAGGCCTTGTTTGTCATGCCAGGCCTATATGATGGCCGGCCATACTCTATAATTGCCGTTGTACTGTGCCCGCTTTTCGTTATTGAAGTGAGAGGACGGATAGCTTCGGGACCCTACCAATCACTTTCGAAGATCTGCCGAACCAGCTGCTCTTCTTGCAGATTGATCGAATGCTTTCAACATCCTTGGCAGACTCGTCCCTGGCACCTGTCCAGCCCCACTGCAAACTACTTGTTACTCCTCGCCTCACTTTCGGGAGCATACACCGACTTCGAAAATCTGAAATCCCGCCAGAGAGTGTTCAAAAAGGAGGCCAAGGAAAACGGCTACCCATCGAGAAGGAAAACTTGATACAGCATGCTTAATAGGCATGGGGCTCACAGGAGCAGAATATGTGCATGTGTAAAATACTTGCATACAGCTAGCGGGCTTATCGCAGTGGGCATAGTATTATGCTTCGACTGTCCGCGAACCTAGATTTATTCTTCACATTGTTCGGTTATGCACAAAAGAACAGGCAATCTTACTGTCCTTGCCCTCATGACAGGAATTACCCGGCATGGCCGTCAAAGAGTAGCTCAAGGGATCCTATAGCGCATTCCTCGAGATGGTATCATGACCTTCTCGACCCCATCCGGCAGGCCCGGCAAACCTCGGCCAAAGCACCTGAAGATGGTCGGGACAGGGGCTTTTCGCATGACGGATGACGGAAGACTCGAACATCCGCAGCTCCCCGATTTTAAAGACACAGCGCCTGTAAGTCCTTTTCTTCTGATGGGGCAGGTTCTTTGTGGCTTGGGGTTGTATCCTGGCAATATCCGAACAGTGTGGTTTCATTACTCTCTAGGCCGCATCGGCATTCGCGCAGGCCCAATGGTGGTGTCACCAACCTGATTTAGACATGCGTACCTTGCTTCTCGAAGACTATTCTGCTTTGTTTGTTCGGTCTTGGATAGATGTGCGGAATCCGCCTCGGGCTAATGCAGTAAGCTATGGACATGGTATCGAGTTTTAGTTTTGCCAAGCCAGCTGCTCGTCATGGCGGGAGGGAACCGCAGAATGTTTTATGAAGTGATGTCACCGCTCTGCGCAGCACAGCGAGCCTTCCGCACTCGTACAATTTGAGGTATTACTATCGAGTCTATAGTGCCAAGGCTTACTGGTGCATGTGGAAAAGTTCCTGACCAGTCCGCAATCATTTGACCCAAACGGCAAGCAACCAAATACTTGAGTACCAAGTAGGTGATCTGGTGCCTTTGAAAGAAAAGGAAAAACAGCTAGTTTGCCAAGAGGCGAGTACAAGAATCTAAATGTACGCATCTTGATTACGCTTCAACTGCGTCACCACTACGCGGGACTATTATCAGATGGATTGTGGTGGTGGCTATTTCCCCCCTCCCCCTTCAGCGATTCGATGTAACAACAGCGCGTCTCAGTCCCAGCCACGGCGTTCCGTGTTGGCGGTCGGCCTTCCTATTCTAGTCTCGCCCATTCTGAGTCTACATATGTACATTTTTGCACCGCCGCCGCGGTGACAGGGTCAACTGGTGCTTTGTCGACTTTCTGCGGCTCTTGGCTGTGGCTATTGTTTAACTGACGGGGCCCCATATTAACGAACAGAGTTTCAAAGTACTACGCGGGATCTGCATCCCGGTACCCGCGGTCAGCCACAACCTCCAACTCTCCCAGGCCGTGAGCCGGCGCGGCTCCCGATTTTGCTGGTTCGAGCTTACACAGACGCAGACGCAGACGCAGACGCAGACGCGGAATCCTTTGGCAGATCGCGCATAACCCTGCTCTTGCCCAACCAGGGAGGTCCTTGCTAGAGGCGAGGAGAGATTTCGACGTCGGACGAGGTGAAAAGGCTCGCTGTGTTTCTGTTTGCACCCGTTTTTTTTTTTGCTTTGCTGGGGGATTTTTGTTGTGAATCATGGCGTCGTTTTTCCCTCTCATCTCCGAGATCTTGCCCATGATCATGCCCGCCGCCACGCATGTGACGCGGGCTGGGGATCTGGAGCCCAAGTGTCCTACTGTTGAGGGTCCCGTTACTGTCAGGGCTGCCATTGTGGACAAGTGCGATAGAATGTCTGCTACAGGTTGGTGACACATCGCATGTCGCATGCCCACCTGGGAGCATGATGCTATATTTGGCCCTGTAATAGTAACATTCGCACATACATAGTTCTCACGGTTCGACCGCAGTCCGAAACTCCTGTCCACCACAACAGCGAACAAGGTTCGTGTCCAGAACTTCACTCTCCCCCCCCCCCCTTTTTTTTG